TTTTAATGGACACTTATTCACACACAGAGACGGTTCTCCTTAACCTCTACCGTCTATAAAACCAACACAAGATTCACTTTCAAATCCAGTGTTTTTCTCTTGTATATGAAAACTATCACTACTGAGAATTCAAATAAATTTCCTGATAAAGCTAATGAAATAAATTTGGAGACTGGCAGCTTGTCAATATTGAATGGTGTACTACAATTTTCTTGAAATGAACTGCTTCTAACTTTTTTTGTTCCAGGCGTGCTTAGGTGTGGAAATCAATTTCAAGTGGAATGGTTAAACAACTCAAAATTGTCTCGGTATTTGGCAATCACTTTGAAGATGGGCTTTATTTAAAAACTGGATATTCCAGTGCGACTATTTTCTGAGGGCGACAACTGCTTTCTTTAATTGTAGTACTTCCATTTCTTGGTGCTTCAAGCTGTTTAACTAGATCTAAAAATCCCAACCCATCATACCTTCATCAGCTTTTATCAAAGCCATTTTTAGTTCCTCAAGGTTCATTCTGGGGGCCCATATCCCACGAAAGTACTGAAAATGGTAGTAGTTCAATATCCGAGAAGTGATTATTTTTTGTTTATGAATAATATTGTTTTCTTTCTTATTAGTCAGTGTGCTATGCTTGAAGACTGGCAGTTTCCATCGTGAATAACTTGGAGCACATTTCCAAGACTTAAATGGGATTTATTGTTTTATTGATTATAGCTTGAACTATACCAAAAAGGAATTAGAAGAGATTCATACCATGTAATAAAATATGACAAAATGTTCACCCTTCCTCAATCAAGTAAACATTTTATACCTACACGAAAAATAACTTTACAGCAATGTCGATAAAGAACTACGATACACCAAAAACACCCATACCACAGATTTCTTTATATCACAATATTTTTCAGAACATCTACAACAACACTACACGATTCACAAACGAAATTTCGAAAGGTTTACGATACGTAAAGTGGTTTGGACAGTTAGAAAGAATGAATAAGAGAATAACCTTGTTATTACAGAATTCGGGGAATCACAGGGATTTTCAAAATCTTCGTCATGGTGTAACGAACCTCATTCTGATTACTGAGGTTAGGTATGGAGTTTTAGCACTAGGCTCCCTTCTAGTAAGCATATATGTAAATGATCTTTTTATGTGGTTCCATAAAAATAGATTGAATGCAAATGAGATAATTTTGCATCATTTAGAATAGCATTTATTGTCTACTACATGAAAAATAGCTCCGAAGATTGTTGAAACATTCAAGATATTGAATTGTTCCACAGAAATAAATTGAATTTCAATAATGAGGCTTGAAAAGATATTCTTCATCATCGTTACGGCGCTGTCACCCAATGTACTTCCACTGAGCAACTGTATAGTGACGTGTGGCAACATGAATCAAGCTTCTCCAACGAATAAGGAGAGTACGAAACAATTTTCAAAGGCATTCAAGTTGGGAGATAGTTTGGGGGATTAGTGTGTTAGAAAAATGGTGGTGTTGAATTGTATTTTGAATTATTGGATAAATCAAACACAATGGTAGCATTGGCGATAGTGGTAAAACAAAACATTAATTGAATGCTACAGGATTTTTATGCTCCAAGAAATAAAAACAGAACTTTTTTTTGACATTGAAGGTGCCACAGAAGATGGTGAGATCGTGATGTCACGTCGACGACCAGATTCTGTTAATTCAAGGTTATGATAGAAATCTTTGTTTCGTAACCAAATGAAACAGTCCTTGAAGGGATGGATATCTTCTCCTCCATCCAAGAGATCAATTTTTGAGTTTTTGTTTCTATCGTTTAATGAAAATTTTATGCAAACGAATAATTAATTCAAGCCTACAGGATTTTTATGCTCCAAAAAGTAAAAACATTTTTTCTGGATATAGAAGATGCTCTGGAAATTTTGTATAAAATGGTGGCGAGACGCTGGTGAGACGCTAGTGATGTCGACGCCCAAATTCTGTTAATTCAAGGCTATGATTTAGAGGGAGAAATAGGATTCTGATATATTCAGATGCAAACATGCAAGTATGATAGAGATCTTTGTTTCATAACGAAATGAAACACTTCTTGAAGGAATATTTTCTTTTCTATCCAAGAGATCAATTATAGAACTGTTTCTATTGTTTTATGCAAATCAACCAAGTTGAACAACAAAAAATGAAGTTGCTGAAGAGACAGTCAGTCATGAAATACATTTATTATGTGATGGAATGAAACTCATCAATGACAAAATTGATTTACACAGAGGTTTGCCAAGTTTTTTGAATTTTACATTTCCTGCAATATATGATGTAGAGAAAATTAGCAAATGTGACTTTACATTCATATTGATGTTTTAAATAAGTATTAAACCACTGGCTACATATTCCAGTTTTGAGTGGAATTATCAAATTCTTTTCAAAGACTCAAAACAAATTATGAAAATTCTTTGATAAGACTACTTTCAGCTGCAAGCACTTAAAGCTGCAGAAGATAGAAAGCAATTTCTCAGTTATCTGTCCCGTACATTCTGTCTTCGTATGGGAATATGTCGATTCTCATCATTCCAGGCTTGGTATTCTAGTTATGGATGAGAATAAAATTGTTGAAATTACTGATGGAAATTGCTATATAATTCAACTTAGCAAACTGTCCTTTTTACAGATAGGACACAGCTCCCACCCATCATTGGCATTTGTGACTGATCATAGCCCACCAGTGAGGTGTCGATCATTGGCCATCAATAAAGTGTACAATGATTGGTCCTTTTTCTATTGACCAATGATCAGCGGAAGAGATGGAGGGGGTGAAAGACTTCAACAGTCGCCAAAAACTATTATCGCTAGGTTCCTTCCTATCCTGAAGGAAGATTATCCATAATCTATGTGCTTTGAAACCCTGTGCCTTTGGAGAATGATCGACTGTTTTACTGGTGCGTGATGATCAGCGGAGGCAGTTTCTGATCTTTGAAATACACAATGACGAATCACTTTACTACAAGCCAAACGATCAGCCATTTTTACTGTTGCTGGCCAATGATTCGCCATTTAACTGACGGCCGATGATCGGCCATTCAACTGGCGGCCGATGATCGGCCATTCAACCGGCGGCCGATGATCGGCCATTCAACCGGCGGCCGATGATCGGCCATTCAACTGGCGGCCGATGATCGGCCATCCAACTGGCGGACGATGATCGGCCATTCAACTGGCGGCCGATGATCGGCCATTCAACTGGCGGCCGATCAACTGGTGGCCAATGATCGGCCAGTTTTACTGATAGTGGATGATCAGCGGCATCTAAAGAGCAGCCGATGATCGGTAATAGAAATATGTGAAATCGAAGATTTCCCAGTTGTCAAAACTCAATAGAATATTGCATATCATGCTTATAAACCCCACCAATTTGATCTATTCTGCTTTTGTCATATTAATCAATTCGAATCAATTTTAACAGAAGATGATGAAGGATTCTAGAAACATCGGCTGTCTCAATTCAAGTAATTATTAATGAGTCCATAGAAAAAGACATTTATTTCTAACAAAACAATGTGTTTCATGATTGACTTTACAAAAAAAATATCTGGGACAAACAAACCACCCTTTCTTTTAGTATATAGGAAGAGAACTGAAAAAAATATATGTAGTATCACTTACTGATTTGCTTGATATCAAAAATTACTTCTCCATTCAAGAGAGCCAAATGGGCCGGTTTCATCTTCTTTCGAAACTTAGACACCCGAAAAGTAGAACCATCTTATTCTATCTTTACATGCTATCTGAAAAAAATTTATTGCCCACCTGTTTGCGCTTGTTAGAATTTGATACGCGTCCCCCAATCAGCTACCGATTTTTCCGCCCCTTAACACGTTTTCTGCCATTCCAGTCTGTAGGCCCGAGACAAGAGTTTTCCAATAAAAAAACATCTTATGTATCAAGATACAAATTGTCTCACACGCCAACACATCCATTAGTCCGATATCATTTTCAAAATTCTAGAATGCCGAAGATCTATTTCAAATGGAGTATAAATAAGGGGAAAGACTGTGCTGGTGTGCATGACGAATTTGCACCAGAGTTTTGAATTTTGGACAATTTTGAAAAAATGCTAATTTTATTTTTCTGTTTTCAGGTTCATTAGTAGGGGTCAGCAAGTTTTTGGGTCGGACATTTCATCTGTCACTACAATACCGTGAATTGACTGCAAGGCTATTAAAAGAGGTCGTAGAAATCCACGAACATAAAAATAATTCTACCTGTAAGGTAGAGAGAGCTTGAATATTATTAAAACATAGACACCGGTATTTCAGAACAGACAGATTGTTCGAGATTGTTGATGTCCGCCGCAATTACAGACGAAACGTCAGGCCCAAAATCTACAGACTACAACTAATAAAGCCAAAAACAGCTGATGATGCTTTTGATACCAACAGTGAAAACCTACATACCATGATCAATCTATACAATGTCAACTATGACCTTTAAAACATTTTTCGGATTTTTCACTCGGCCTGGCAGACCAGTCAGTTGGCAGTGAACGTGTTAAGCATCGAAACGAATACGCCGCATCACCTGATCTCAACACAGCTGCAATTTTCGACAGTTACACAGCCATTTGATGATACGAGCGTTGCGTTCCACTATCGAAGGTGGATCACTTGACCTATAAGTGGTAGGGCAATAATCAACGTTCTCTAGAGGTCTGCTCGAATCGACAGTGGAAACATCGGAAAAAAAAACGGGGCTTTCTGAAGATCCACATCTTCAAAAGGAAGATAAAACTGAAGATCACCAAGTGATAATCTTCAAAAGGAAGATAAAACTGAAGATGATCACTTGGTGATCGAAACACGTTTCGATCACCAAGTCAAAAGGAAGATAAAATTGAAGATGATCACTTGGTGATCGAAACACGTGTCGAGGTGTAAAAAATAACGATTTGGTGTTGTGAAAAAACTCCGGTAATATTCATAGTTATTCTGTTAATGTTATTCACGGTCATATAAGCTAAGTATCTGTTTCCACCAGAGACCAAATTAAGCCTGAAATCAATGAAAATAACTTTATATTTCCAGAACTCACCTGTCTTGGAGGTGGTGGCGGTTCACTCCTCTGGGTATAGTGTCCACTCGAGCCCCCGCTGTCCCTATTAGACAAGCTCTTGTTGCTACTCTTATTCGAACTCGGCTCTCTGCAATGAAGATCCGGAAGGCTTTTGTGGCAACGTTGTGCGTACTCTGCCGGAGGACTGAGCGGGGCCATTTGCTCCACGCACAGCTCTTCTGCGCTGTCGCAAACCAGCAACTGTCTCAGTTTATTTTGCAGCAAGTCGCTAGTGGCAGAATGTACTGAACGTCTGTGCGTTAAGGGCGGTAGAGACCTTGAAGGCGAGACGGCCATGTCTGGAACAAATTGTACTGCAAGTACTGGTTATAATAATGAGTCAAAAGAGTATATGCTTATTAATATTAATGAATTCGCTAGCATTAATAATAATAATAGTAATAATAATAATCTTGCATTTGCTCAGATGCCTTGCGGTACCCGACAACATAGTGAGATGCATTGAACAACTGATACCACTAAATATTTACGAATAACTTTTTTTTTATTTCAACACCCTGTATCTTGAGAACGAAGGATTTGCGGAAGTTTATATGAACATTTCGTCTTAAAATTACCTAAAGAATCGTCTGTTGAATTTATGGTACATACTTAATTAACACCCTGTATGTATTTCCTTTCGTATTTGATACAATTACGACAATTCGACAAGATCTCACTTGCCATACTCATGTGCTCTGCATAGTAGCTAAACAACCTAAATGCATATCTACAATGAACCTTTTTCCTGAAGTACAAAAAATCACTCACTAGCGGCGCTAGTAGTTCGGTAGGGACAAACACTGCCTAATCCTCATATAAACATATGGTAAAGTACAATTAAAAAAGAATGTTTTTAACAGAACAAAACTAATTTGAAAAGCAGGAAATCTTTGATATCTAAGTCATTTCCAAAAAACTTGATAATACGGATTTCAGGATGAGAATCATTTCCAAAGAACTCGCAAGTTCTATAGCAAAAACTGCACAGCAGGTTATAATAGTCACACTTTGGGTATGGAAGTACATAGATCTAGTTTATTGAAGTCAGTTATGTTAAAAAAAGTTTAAAAAAAATCTGTTCTAAAATCTGTTTTTCCGTTAACCAGCTGTCGCACCCCTACTAACGATAACCCTCAGAAGTCGAAACTTGTGCGAGCTAAGAATTAACGAGGTCTTACCTTTAAACGTGTGATTCCTAAAACGGGGTGGACGATAGCAAGTGAAAATCGTGCGAGCTAAGGATTAACGAGGTCTTACCTTTAAACGTGTGATTCCTAAAACGGGGTGGACGATAGCAAGTGAAAATCGATCGTTCAGACTAGGGCTTGAACCACCGACCAACACAGCAGTCAATTCGAGTAAGTAAACAAAGCACTCACGTCAAACCGCCGGGCTACCGACCACATCAGAGTATGATTGAATATTTAAGACAACTGAACACTGACCCCTTCAGANTAACCAGGATTTATTGAAGAATAGACCATATAGATTGCATGAAATGTACAATGATAGATTCTGAATTAGAATTTGTTGTACTTTTTATATACATGTGCTATTTTTTGTTTGTTTGTATTTGTATGTACTTCTTTATTTTTGACATAAGTTCTTTGATGTTGCATCTGTTTATTTTCATTTGACCCAAACAGGTTTGGAAATTATCAGTACGCATACACTAATGTTTAAAAAATAAAATAAAGTTACAAATACATACAAAACACAAAGCAGTATTTAGTTAGAAGCTAGTCTTTGTCAACAAGATTTGACCTTTAGACAAAGTGTGCTTATGATCATTAGAATACTTACAGTGAGGCAAAGTTGTAGGTCTGTAGTTGGATCCATGTCCAGCAACATTCACAGATTTACTTCGATTGTAAGTTCCATAACCACCAAAATTCGAATTGGGCCGGGAAGGAATTGCTTGAGTCGTGTCTCTGACCACCTCGGACTTCACGTAGAATGGTTTACTTTCAGCCAGGAGCTCAACTGCGGATTTTCTCTTAGCTCGCATGCTCTGGGACTTCATTAGCGTGGGGTACATCATTGTTGTCATTGTGCTAGGGCAGTGACTATTGATACTGGTTTTCAAATTAGTTGAGTTACATATAAATCATGAATGGAACCACCTACAATAATAAACAGAAACTTTATTCAAGAAAATATTAATAATACCAAAAACACAAAAACCATACTGAAAACTTAAAATGACGAGAGCATTGCCTCTAGACACACACTTGTAAATTACATTCTAGGTATTAATTGATGTTATGATACAATACAAACAGAAGTCAAAACATAACAGACTCTCACAAGATATCGGTTGTTTTTACCAGGTTATGATTGGCGGGCATTTCAATCGATTATTGAGTCGCCTATTTGTGAAACTGGGATCAAGAACGTCACATATTTGAGCTTATTTCACTGAAGTCCACTTTTTCAACGAATAGTTATCCTACAGGAAACAAGAAGCCATTTTGGAGACAGCAAGACAATTCGCTATTCGCCAGACCTCCCTCTTTAGTAATTTGCCAGAACACAGCTGATTATGAAGTTTGGATATATGGCAACGTCTGTAAAGATAGATGACAGAACCCACGACCACGAAATAGGAATTGTTGTTTTTGTCTGTTATAAAAAGCCAGGGTTGTCATATAGGGGTGTGGAATGTCAAAGATTCTGGTCGCCACGTTTGTAATGTCATTGGAGGAAAATATGTTTGAATTTAAACTGGTATGGTATACATATAATTGATTTATTTTCTATTTGATATGGGTAAACTCGGTACAAGGCAAGATCTGAAAGCTCAATAATTCTATCAAAATTGCAACGTGCAACGTGAAAATTATAGAAGCCGTCAACTTTCAACATTCAAAGCAAATAAATTATTTTGCGATTCACTGATACTCTCTTTGTTCAATTAGGCAGATTCTATTTATGGTCTAATTTGACCCATTCAATGTAATAATGATAAATATTCATTTCCATGAATTACTGCCTTTCATAAAAAAGATCTTCATGATTAGAGTGTGCAAGATATTTCCCAAAAATCCTCACTTCCCAACCAAAATCAACCAGATTTTCTGCAGCGGTTAATTGGATGAAATATCATTTTCATTACATTTGAAGTAATTTGTTGATATTGGACAATTTCTGAAAGTCACCGATAAAGTGATCTGAATGTTTTTTCTATTGATCTGGAAGGTGACACCTGAAAAGTCTGAAAAGTGGTATCTTGATGTTTCTGCTGAAGATTAAAATAACTTGTTACATAAATAGCCAAGATTTTGATGTAATTTACTGACTTAATTGTAATTTTCGAACCATAAAGTTATATTTGTGGTGTCCTGTGGAATACGTTCTTGATTATATCATCATCAACATCTCAATCATAAGTGATTTTTAAATAAATGCATTCAGCTTTTAATAACAATACCTATTCATTCTCATTCTGCGAGCGCACAATTTCGAATTGACATAAGCATCTAGAAACAGCAGCCACTTTGATTGAGATGTTGAGAGCATATGTACCTTAGCACTTCGCTTAATTTCTTGAATATTAGCTTTGGTTTGTTGAGATTTTTAGTATGTTGAATTGATATATTTTCTTCTGCTCATTCTAATGATTTATTTCTGTCACTTGAATATTTATTTTAGATTATATTATATTTTGTTTCATTAAAAAAGTGACAAAACTTTTGGAATACTGGATCTGCATGGATATATGGTACCTTCTTATCCAGAAAAAAAAGAGCAACAAGAGACATAATTTTATTACATTTATTTTTACACAAGAATCACAACATATAAATATAATATTTCAATAAATCAATATTGTTCCGCATACCAGATGGGAATATATTTCATATTTTTGATCAAAGTATCAAGGAGATGTTACACTAAACATTAGGTAACAGCTGTCGAATAGGTTATTCCATTGGGGAAAAAACTTTATATATATGTTCAAAACGTATCGCTGCAAAACAGAAACGATTTGAAATCAACATTGAAGAATGAATTTGGGATATTTCTACAATTGTAAATATATTCGTGTATTCATTGATCATTGCTGCAAAAAACACAATTGTGCCAATAGGTAGGCTTTCCCAAAGTATGAATAAGTCTTGTATCTACAAAATAACTAAAATTGATTTACCCATCTGCATTACAAATATTAGTTTCGAATATGCCGTTTTGAATGTGGCTTTTAGTGAATCTCAGTCATCACTTATTCATACTGAATATATTTTGCAATCAAATGAATTCACAATCAAGTACATAACCCTCTTTCCATTAATTTTGTTTGTTCATGCATTTTAGAAGGAAATGTAGATAATGAGATATTGTTCCTTCAACTGACATTTCAACTATTTCCCGACTTGAAATATTTATGTGATAATCATTTCTAGAAAATGTTTGAAACTCGGTAATAATGAAAACAGTTTTATCTGAAACCAGCACAGATAACCGTCTATTTTCATTCTGGATTTTCCGAAGGAACAATATTTCATTTATCTCACATCGAATGAAATTATCTAATAGATCTGAAACCAGCACAGACCACTACATTCTTAGTTCTATTTAGATGAAGAATGACAATTGAGTGAAAGAAGTAGTGGAGTTGCTTGCATCATTTTAGCGTCAAACAAATGCCATTACTTGTGCTCTTTCGATTTTTCATAAATATTTTTCTCCTGACTACTGACAAGCAAAAATCATCACAGAATGAGCTTATGCTTATATCAATTAGCGGATTGATATACATCTGAAGTATTTCTTTTATGTTGTATAATTTTGACTTTCTTCTTCTCCACAAAATATTTCTGATATTGTAATAGGTTAAAAATTGCCCGCCTATTATTAATCACCTTGTAGTATATCAAATTGCTTCCCACAAAAGTGAAAACAGGGCAGAACACTGAATGTTTTATAAAAAAATGTGAATAATCGAAGGAACTGTAGATAAATTCTTTCGACCATTGAACAGAGGCTCTTTAAAACATATTGATGGTTTTTACTTGCAAATATTCTATACTGATGGTTTTTTCGCAGTATTGAATGCCCTATTCTTTCTATCATTCAACTAACAAAATTTATAGAACATCTGAGTTATGACTGTATTCGAATAACGACATATTTACCGATCGATATACCTTTTTGAAAACATATAGATTCCCACATTAACTGTTTCTAGTCTCTCATTGAACTGATTCAAATATCCATTGTGAGATTTTCAATTAACAGTTATCAAAACCGCAATACGTGTTTCGCTACACAATAGTATCCTCAGGCGTGTTAATACTTACACGTGTTGCGATTTTTTAAACTGTTTAGTGAAAATCTCACAATACGTTTTTCTTGATTACGTTATGGTTTTTCGAATAGTGGCCAATTCCATCACATATTTTATTGAACTGAAATTGTGTTCTGAGGAGTTCTTTCATGTGCAACTTGTTGGTGCAATAATTCAGTATATGAAGCTGATGAGAGTTTTTTTAGTAAGATGATGCAAGCAAATTAAACGGATTTTTCTCTAGACAATTTAGTCAAATAATTTGACAAAAGGTTCAGTGAGAATTTCTTAATGGATATATACTTCACTCTTTATCCACTTCCATGCAATTCTGTTTTACTAATCAATATAGGGATGGGTCATCATTTCAAAGTGAAATCATCTCGATAGGGATAGAGAGTCAGAGAAGAATAACTCATATGTAATGTTTTATTACTTTCTCACTTCAATGTCGATGTTGATGGAATTCAGTTTATTTTGTATGTGACAAGTTTAGTCTGTTTCCAAAAATTTCATTTTTTTGTTTATTACTTTGCATTTACGAACAATTCTTATATATTGTTGAGATCGTCCAATCATATCTTTCCTTAAAAAAGATCACCACCAAATCTAGAGAAAATATTTCGAATTTACTATGTGTAATGTACCTAAACTTACAAATGCCTGTTAGCCTGAAAAATGCACCCAGTGTTTATTGATTATGATTCAAAGGAGTACTAGAATTCAACATTCGTAGTTTCATTAGTTTGAGTGATACTTTGAGAGTTCCTCTTTGACAAAGAAAAGTATACTGAGGTGATGGGTCTATAAAACTTTTCTAAAATGAAAATAAAAACAGGAAAATTACTTACAAAGTGGAATAGAAGTTCAATTCGAAAAGAAAGCGAAAAACATCATTCTGAATAAGAGTTTCTGTCTCCCTTGAAAAAACAGTTTCCTCTTTTTTTGATATGATAGACGGTGGATGTCCTGCTTCTATACAGAAAAAAAAATAACAACTTAATTTTCTTCAACACAAATTTCCAATCAACATGTAAAATTTCCATTATGAATCTCTCTGAACCTACTGTTTCTATCGCTATTGACTTTCCGTAAACATACTGTCTTCAGCCAATTTCTTCTTATCTTTTTTCTCACGGGATAACCTACTTGGGTTTGGTATTCTTAAGATATCCTCCTTCAAATCACTACACTAGTAAAATTGAGGGGTTTAGTTTAATCGCAAAAAGTAATAGACCCTGGTCAGCAACAGTCTTGCAAGTTGAAGCTTTTGCCCGCATTTTCTTCGTCTCCGTACGTTTCGGTTTCGGGCGTGTCGGGAACGTTTGGCCCCTTCAGCTGAAGGGTTACTAGGTCTTTGCACCCTTCCAAGGCGAGAACGACGAACCTCCCGTTAGAAGATATTTCGCAGGCGGTGATTTTGGATTCGGGGGTATATACAGCTATCAAGTCACCTGAAAAAGTATGTTTGTCTGTGTTATCGGGTTGAAGATTCCTAACTTGCAATTGTTTCAAAATATTGGTGTAAACTATCCCCTGAAAAAAAATGCCAGCCGACTGCTACCCAGTCAAGGTCGCGCTCAGCTCCGCTTGTGTCTCTCTTTCTCTCGAAATTTCTGGAATACTGCGTCTTTCCGAGAGTTGTTCCACCGGCTTCCGAAGACTTCTTTCGAGTTATATGATAATTACCGCGATGTAGGAGAGTCAATCTAGTTCGGAAAGTATAGTACGAATTGAGGTTATGTGCGATATATATTTGAGCAACAGTCTGAAGTTCAGTTACAGTTTTTATGATGTATTGACAGTGTAGTAGAGAAATACAGTTGAGTTCAATTGTACAGTGTAGTCAATTATTGTCAAATTACGGGAAAAGCGCAATAATATGAATTTATGGATACACGGCACAACATATTATTTTTCTTTTGACGTTTGCAGTTGCAGTTCGATACAAAATAACTCCCTGTCACTACAAAACTCCACCATGGAGTTGTAATACGATTTCCTAAAGCAATGTAATTAATTTTGAGCAATTATTTCGCCATTGACACATTTTCAATTGTTTTATGAAAGCCAAGCCCAGCTAATGCCACAATGAACATTGAATTATATCTGTTTTGACCCACGATTATTTCATCGTGATTATGAATACAGAAGGAGACGTGCAGGACAGAGGTTGGACACTGATGAACCACCCAGGTACTACCCAAAGGCGAAAACACACCAAAAAATCATGGTTACTGTATATGGTGGTCAACGAATGGTGTGATTCACTATATCTTTCTGTAACCGAGCCAAACCATGGGCCAAACCATAACAGCAGATTCATATCGTGAGGAAATTGACGAAATATACAAAGAATTGCATCAGCAGCCGGAACGGGTCAACAGAAGAGGTCCAATCCTTCTCCACGACAACGCCTTTTCGCACGTTTCACAAATAACCTTTCAGAAATTGAACGAATTGCCGTCCCCAGACCTCTCACCAAACCAACTACCATATTCTCAAGCACTTCGATAACTTTCTCACCGGTGGAAACTCCGCCAATCAGGACCAGGCAAAAACGGCCTTCGTCGACATTATCGAATCCTGAGCACCCAATTTCTTTGCTGATGAAATTAATCGATATGTGTTACCTTGGCAAAAGTACATTAATTTAACGTTTGTTTGAAGGTGATTGACAATGTTTCATGATGGATTTCACTTGTTCAGACTTCCATTGTCTAATATATAAAATGATTTGAAATCCCCGAAACAACTGAAAAGAAAGAATTACAAGCAAAAATAACCTGAAAAGTTAAGAGATTCCAAGCCACGTTAGTTCACGACGTTTCGATTGTTAGTATCTACAATCATCTTCGGGTGATGACTGGACTGATTCCTCCGAGAGATGACTATTTAAGGGTCGTTCGAGTACTTTCACTTATCCCCGCTTTCCATTTTTCTGCTTAACTGGTTCAGTGGGAGATGACCGTTTGGCGGGAGTTGGGCATTTTTCGCTTGATGATATGTATGGTTACTGTATGGTGGTCAACGAATGGTGTGATTCACTATAACTTTTTGTAGCCGGGCCAAACCATAACAGCAGAGTCCTATAGTGAGGAAATCGACGAAATATACCAAAAATTGCATCATCAGCCGGAACGGGTCAACAGATGAGGTCCGACCCTTCTCTACGACAATGCCTGTTCGCACGTTTCACAAATCACCTTTCAAAAATTGAATGAATTGCCGTCCCTAGACCTTTCGCCAAACCAACTACCATATTTTCAAGCGCTTTGATAACTTTCTCATCGGCGGAAACTCCGCCAATCAGGACCAGGCAAAACGGCCTTCGTCGTCATTATCGAATACTGAGCACCCAATTTCTTTGCTGATGAAATTAATCGACATGTGTTACGTTGGCAAAAGTACACTAATTCAAACGGCGTTTACTTCCAGATATTACAGTTTAAAGTAGACTCATAAAAACAGACAACTTTTGAAACATCCCAATATATATCTAACTGATATTTATGCACTATTATAAATGAATCAGATTCGTTTGGAAATAATACGTTACCTTTATTCAAGTCCCAAATTCTTATAGATCTATCTCTGCATTCTGAATCTCTAGAGAGACATATCGCTCCCGTTGGATCCAGTTTCAGAGAACAAACTGGAGAAGTGTGTCCACTCAATGACCATCGACAATTTCCTGAAAATAATCATTTTGATTTACCATTACCATTTGATTTTAGAAAAAGACTGTAAAGTTCGAACAGAATGATAATATCGTTGTGAATCATGCCCGAAAAAAATACCACTGGCCGCCACTGGTAGCCATAAACCAATAGTGATGTAGCTTAGAGCGCGTGAATGTACGAGGATCTCCGCCACTCTAGAAGAAGCGAGAATAATCTATTGATTTAGATGGAATTTCGGCGAAATTTTCTAGCGCAGTCGATTACGATATAAAAACGCTAGCTGCGAGCATATCGACACAATCACGTGGACATTACAGTGCGGTACACGAAGTGATCTAGTAAGGCGATAGACATTCAAATAATAGTTGAAGTTTTAGTTGAAGTGTTTGTTGTATTTAAAGTGAAATAAAGTTGAGTTTGATTATTCAGTGTAGTCAATTATTGGTCAACCCACGGGGAAAAACGTAACAATATCATATTTTAAGCTGCCATAGACAGCTTAAAATAGCTGTCGCTATCTGAAGCTGCAACCCTTTTTAAATCGTCAATCAAATAG